AATGAATAATGAATAATGAATAATGAATAATGAATAATGAATAATGAATAATGAATAATGAATAATGAATAATGAATAATGAATAATGAATAATGAATAATGAATAATGAATAATGAATAATGAATAATGAATAATGAATATATAATGAAAAAAGATAATGAACGATGAACAATGATCAGTAAACAATGATCAGTAAACAATGTACAATAAAGAATGACAAACATCACTAGCAAAGTGTGAGATCTATATACAGATAGACTATTACAATTATAGCAATCTTTGTATCAATTATAGCAATCCTTTGAACATATATAGGCAAACACAATAAGATTTAATGTCGAGTAGCTCATCATTACAAGTTATATTTGTTTGCCAGATATGATTTAACAAAAGAGCTTTGATATGATCTTCGAGATAGATTGACGAAAGGAAAATTGAAGAAACTTTTGAAATACTGCAGATGGATAGAGAGAATTTTGCAGGTGACTAAGTAAAACTTGAGATCACTTTAGTAAAAGTGAAGGAGTGAAGATCAAATGGAAATGGAAATTGATTTCATAAAATGAATATTAATTTGATATTAGAAAGAGTGTTATTAGGGAGATTTCAGCGAGCAAGTGAAATTCAATCAAGATCTGTGAGTTGATATAGAAACTGCTTGCTATGCATCTCTAAATGATAGATCATCTCACACCCCATACATATACATATCACAATATCAAGCTAAGATCACTTACCTTAAGTATGAGTACGATGCGATTTAAGCGTTTAACAATTTCCAATGTTTTGGTCTCATCGATGACCTCTGCGTTGAGCATGTCGCGTATGGAATCGAACTCAAAAATGATTTGCTTAAACCACAGCTCATAGGCTGCAACCAAGATCAGAGATAGAGATACCAATAAATAGGCAGAGTGAGAGGGAGAGAGAGAGAGAGATGGACAGTTCTACTCACCCTGATGCGTTATGATAAAGAGATGCTCATCGTGCACCGGCCTCTTATCCTCCATGGAGAGCATGCACTGTGCGTCGAGCAGCTTGTCCAGCATCAGATATTCTCCATAGATCTTGCCCACCTCATTGGACAGTGGTACGGCGGCATCGTCATGCTCGTTGCTGTGGGTGAGCTCAGAGTGTGTGTGAGTGATGCTTGCCTCTTGTTGGCTATGGAAAGAGTTTGATGCTCACCCGTTGCCAGCATAGGGGCAGCTCATGGTTGGATTTCAAATGGATCGATGCGACTCGCTGTACGTCGAGCGACAGACTAAATCGCAACCTAAATCAAATATATATATCACTACTCGATGTCCGTATCAATCGACAGACAACAAGTTGGCAGTTCCAGCCCAGCGCACAGCTGCCAACTCTTGCTTAGCTTTGGGGCATAACAGCCTTCTCGTATACCCTGTAAAATGTGCTTTTCTTTGCGCTTACTTCACATTATTGAAGACTAATCAACATATAGATAATAATCGATGCATACCAATTAATACTTATCGAAATATGAAATTAAGTATTATCGTACATTGGATATCGATAAATATAGCAATACGCAAATCGATAGATCGAAAACCGATAATTACACCTGAAAGTTCCATAATGCAACATTACAGTAGTTTTTAGTCTAAGGACTAAACGATAAAAATTCGATAGCTAATAATTATCGATATATAGTAAATCGATAAAAATAGAAATTTTAATTTGTTTGTACTAAAATTGTATATGCAAATCGATAGTAATCGAAATCCGATCAATATCGAAAAACAAAAAATCGATAGCTCTTAAAATAAAAGATGATATATACTCGATAATCAATGACAAACTTAAAATATAATAATCGATAACATTTGTAATTCACTTAATAGGACAAATGGAATACAAATCATTTATCGATAATTATAAATATAATAAACCGATACTTTTTAAATCATTTTAAATCGATAAGGCTAGAGAAGAACAATCGATACTCAACTCAACCCAGGATAACTGCTAGTCGCATACCCTTCATCCTATGCCTTATCTCCCTCTCCCATTGAGCCGTGTCTTATCACTGAAGGGCTTGCTGCCAGCCGCAGCTAAAATCAACTTTCTCGCTGTCACCCACGGAATACGTCTCTGTTTGTAAATAAAAACGAATTTTTGTAATTTATTTTTTTCTTTTCTTGTTTTCTTTTTGTTTTGTAATATAATTTTGTTTGTGTTTAAAATTTATTTTTGAGTCCTTGGCTCAGTCATATTTTTAAATTTCTTTTTTTATTTTTCGTTTTTGTTTCTGTTTTTGTTTTGTATATATAACTTGTTAATGTTATCTTTGTATATATATATATATATATATATATACATATATATATATATATATATATATATATATATACATATATATATTTATTTATATATATATATATAATATATTTGTTGCTTAATTTATTAATGAATACATATTTTGTTCTCTCTTGTTGCATGCCACAAAAAAAAAGTCATTCAATATTTTAGTGTATATATATATATATACGTTATATACATACATACATATATGTATATATATTTTATAATATTCATGTAATTTGTCAACTACGTTTTGCATAGAAAAAATTTAGTTATAGCTGATATTCAGACAATTCAAAAAACACAAACATATATATATATATATTTATCTATATATATGTTATATATATATATACATATATATACCTCATATATATGCAAATATGCAAATCGCGCTGCTTTCATCAATTCAAAATTTGTTTTTTTTTTCTATTTTTATCGACTGTATATATGTTTTTTTTATTAATTTTTAATATATATATATATATATTTTTTTTTATTTTTTTTTCTTTTTTGCATTAGTATATTTTGTTATATTATTTAAACACTAAGCATATACATGTGCATAGCTATACTATATACACATGCATACACATACATACATACATACATAAATATATGTATATACATATATATCCGATATATGCGACTAAGTTCGTTTAGCGTTCGAGCTCTAAGTCTAAATTTCTATATTTATATATATATATTTTTTTTATATTATTTTTTATATATTTATATTCATAGCTCTAACTAACGTTGTCTCTGTGCTGCTTTGTAGTAAGTATCATATATATAAATATATATATATATATATATATATATATATATATATATATATATACATATAGACATGAACGCAATTTGTGATTTCTTTTAAAAATAATATTCGACTCGTTTACTTTTACTTTTTTATAATTAATTTTTTCGTTTTGTGAATAGTTTTATATATATATACTATATATAGAGTTACATTTATTGTATACTTTCAATACAATCAATTTGCATACTTTTCACTATATTCCTTTAGACCTGTTTCAAGTCTTCCAACAAGCAAAATATTTGGTTTTCGTGCGGCTTTGGCACTTGTTCTCGTTCCCTTAGAAGTAAATGATTTATACGAATGATACAATAGATCGCAACACATACACAGACACACACACCTGTATGTGTGTGTGTGTGTGCGTGTGCATATGTATGCATTCCTTATGAAACCCAAACAAACTGTAGCTCACAAAATATATACGCATCCGAATGCATTTTCATCTGCACTTGGAATGTAGCGAATGAAAAAAGGCTTCAAGTTCGAATCAAACGAAAAGCAGTTTTATACGACTAGTCGAACTACAAATACCCTTGCAAAACTGATACAAAACTTGACCAACATATATATATATATATATATATGTGTGCATATAATATATATAGACATACACATATATCAGTAATCTGTAGCATTATCTTAGCAAAAAGAAGTGAAATTAGGTATATGAACTGAATATTTCGTTGTTCTAGTATATCAAATGCCATTACTGATTTATAAAGACCTGTGTGCATATACATAAATATATATATATATATATATATATATATATATATATATATATATATATATATATATATATATATATATATGTATATATATATATATATATATATAAATATATATAGATTGCATACTTTTATTATACAGTAAAAAAAATATACAAAAAATTATATTAAAATTATAATTGATAAACTTTAATCGAGAATTTATATATATATATATATATTATTTTATATATATATATAATTAATATGTAAGTGCTTAAATGTATAGTTGCTAGTTATAAAGTTTTTTCCCATTTTAAGTTATTTAATAGCTCGAAAAAAAACACAATTTTCATACATATTTTTTTTAAATATAATTTTGGTTTTTTTTTTTTAATGCTGGTTCACTTGGCAAAAGGCGAGTATATTAGCTTTGTCTGTGTGTGGGTTGAAAGTGGGTATATAGCAGCTAAGGTCTTGCACAGCTCAGCTAATTTAGCCTTTAGCTATGCCCATTTGTGGGCGCGGCACATGTAGCTCTACTGTATATCTAGCGCAGCCTTAGAGCTAGAACTCTGTTGAGCTGCGCTACAGTGCAGACTTCTATATGCCAAAGAGGGCAAATCGGAAAAATTACGTTTTAAATATATATAGCCTTCCTTAATTATTTTTTTGCAGCATGAACGAGCATTAGGCAGTCGGCTCTGCCTGACTGCTCAGCTTGCATAATTTGCATTTTTGTTTTTTTTTTTTTTTTTTTGTGGGTGAGAGAAAAGTTGGCTATAGCACCAAAATTGCACTACATTCAAATATATATAATATATATAATTTAATATAATATTTAATATAATTTAATTTAATTTAATTTAATTTAATTTATATAAGTATTTTTTTATTTCTTACTTAAAATCAAATGCATTGAGCAAACATGTTTTTTGATAAAGCGCACAAAAGTTAAAAAAAAAGTTTAATACTAAAAAAAAAAAAAAAATGTAAAAAAAAACTTAAAATAATTCTAATAAAGTTTTTAACATTTTGGTATTTTTTTTTTGTGTTGTTCTTCAATTGTTTTTGTTTTTGTTTCTTGTTGCATTTGTAGCACCCAGAACGATGTTATAAATAAATTCATAAATTCATAAATTTAATTTGGTTTTTTCTTCTTACACTTTTGGTTGCTGCGTTTTTAACTTAAGAGCAAATTCTTATTTTGGTAGTATTTTTTTAGTATTTTTGTTTATAGCATATTTAAATTCCATTCATTTTTTATTCATATTCATTCGGAGTATCTTTACTTCGCTGCAAATACTAGTTTTTAGTGTTGTTAGCGTTACTAAATTTGTAGTGTTGTTCAAGCAACTTCACACACACACACAGAGACAGTGGGCGAGGGGGTGGGGGAGGGGGAGTGGCTGCGGGAGACAGGGGAAGAGCTAGTGAAACGCTCGCTAGGATCAACGCGTTAACAACGATTCCAAAACTAGAAACGCAAAACAATTTTCACATTTTGATTGAGTGCCCCTACTAACTTCTTTTTCTTGACTGTGGGCGTGGCTCAACCTAGGCCGCCAGCACCACCGCCCAAGTGCACTGAAGTCGCTGACAACTCGACACGTTGACATTGGCGGCGCTCAACAATCACCGCCGCTGGCAGCGACTATTCCAGCCCGGGTCATACGTTCATCGCATAGTAAACGGATCCCTGCTGCTGCTGCTGCTGTTGCTGCTGCTGCTGCTGCTGCTGCTGTTGCTGCTGAGCAGCTGCACCTGTGGGCGAGACCATGGCACTGCAATCGCTGTGCGAGACGGCAGCTGCTCCCTCGGGCACGCCTCGCTCGCTGAAGCCCGGCATGCCGCCCTCTGCTCCGAATTGATAATGCTGCGACATGAGACGCTGCTGCTGCTGCTGCTGTTGCTGGTGCTGCTGCTGATGCTGCTGCTGCTGCTGATGCTGGTGCTGGTGCTGCTGCGGATGCTGTGCATAGTGGGCGGCATGACCACGCCCACTTACCACATGCAACTGCATGCCGGGCAGTGCATAGCCAATGGGCACGCGAATCGTTTGCTGTGTGACCTGTGCGAAAAGACAGAACAGAAAAATGTGCATAAGTTGGAGTGGGTATACTAGACTACGAACTACCCTGCAAAAAATTAACTCGACTGCTTAATAGCATAAGTGTTGCTAGGCTCCCTGGAACTTAACGCCAACTGTCTTCAAGTCTAACTGAGCTAAGCACTTCCTAGCTCTAATCTTTAATCTAATCTAATCTAGACTCTAATTCATGCCCACTTCAAAGTGAACTAAACTAACTTTTCAGTAAAGCTTCAATCTTAATCTGGCCATAGTATCCAAGCTAACTGTATCTGTAGCCAGCTCTCAGGCTACTTTTCATATACTATAACCAAATCGGTTACTCTTTCCGCTAACTATATCATCTATCCTCTTATAGAGTGTGCTATGATCTTGTACCTTTTCGTATATCTTTATTCGCCTATGTCATCTTATCTTTTCTCTGTCTATCTCTATATTTTCTATTATTATCTCTCTCTTACATGCTCTATCTCTCTCACTCTTTCTATGTTTACGTTTGCAAGTATCTTTGTCCCATGCTCGCTCTCTGTATCGTTCACTCTATGCCTCATCTTGTCTCTTAGTCCTTCTCTCTTTTCCTCTTCAAACTCTCTTTTCTTCTCTAAATCTTTCCTTCTCTAAGTCTAAATATTTTTATTTTCCTTCTCCCTTTCTTTCGCTCCTTTCTCTTTCTCTCTTTCTTTCTTTCTTTATCTCTTTCTATTTCACTATCTCTCTCTTTCCCCATCTCTCTCTCACTTCCTTGTCCTCTCCATTTGTATCAATTTTCTCTTTTCTTTCTCTCTCCATCTTTGCATTTTTTCCATTTCCCTTTTTGTCTTCCTTTCTCTCTCTCTCTCTCTATCTGTCTCTGTCTCTGTCTCTGTCTCTGTCTCTGTCTCTGTCTCTGTCTCTGTCTCTGTCTCTGTCTCTGTCTCTGTCTCTGTCTCTGTCTCTGTCTCTGTCTCTGTCTCTGTCTCTGTCTCTGTCTCTGTCTCTGTCTCTGTCTCTGTCTCTGTCTCTGTCTCTGTCTCTGTCTCTGTCTCTGTTTCTGTTTCTGTCTCTCTCTCTCTCTCTCTCTCTCTCTCTCTCTCTCTCTCTCTCTCTCTCTCTCTCCCTCCCTCTCTCTCTCTCTCTGCATCATACTCTCTCTCCATCTCTCATTCTCTCTCACACTTTCTACATTTCTCTCTCTCTCTCTCTCTCTCTCTCTCTCTCACCCTCTCCCTCTCTCGTTCTCTCCTCTTTCGCCCCCTTGCACCATTCTCACCTGCTGATACTCGAGTATATTCTGGCGCTGGATGTGTGCCAGCTTAGGATCGACACTGCTGCTGGTGGCAAATTGGGAATAGGTCTCGGCATTGTAGGGTATCAACACCATCGTCTGATGATAGTTGCGCAACGGCGGCGGCGACTCTGGCCGTCGTGTGGGGCTGCGTGCGAAGTGGCTGCTGTAGCTGCTGTGCTTGCTCTGCTCGATGGCCGTTGCCGTTGCGGTTGCCGTCGCCGTGACGCTCTGGCAGTTCTGTGCCGCTGCGTACAGCAGCGAGGCGTCATCTGTGGCGCCCTGCTGTATCATGGTCTGGCGGAACATGGCCCCAGCTGGCAGCGTCTGATAGTAGGTCTGCTGTATGGCAGCCGCCGCAGCGGCGTCCACTGGAAAGCGTTGCTGCTCCCCGCTCTCGCTGTAGAAGCTCCAGGTGCGCTGCTCCGTCTTCTGCTGCGCAATGGTGTTTGCCTGCAGCGCTGCGGCCATTTGCTGCTGCAGCTGTGCCGCCTGCTGCTGCTGTTGTTGCTGCTGCTGCTGCTGCTGTTGCTGCTGCTGCTGCTGCTGCTGTGACACGTTTTGCGGCGAGGGATTCTGTTTGGGCTGATTGGGCATGGCATAGCCCTTGATGGCCTGCGGCACCGGCTGGCTGCTGATCACCGTTGTGGGTATCTGCTGTGTGAGCTGCTCCTGCATCTGGGCCAGGATCTCGTTGGTGGAGCTAAACTTGGGCTTGATGCCGCGCACCGAGGGTCGCTTATTGAAGCCATAATCGTTCTGCTCATCGTCGTCGCTGCTCGCCTGCGACTGGCATTGCGATGCGCTCTCGACGCCCGTGTAGCGTTTCTTTAGCTGTTCGGTGCGCTTGGCCTCCGCCTGGGCAAAGGCGGCCAGTTCGTCCTGTTGCGTCGTCTCCTGGCCGGGCGTGCCGGCAATTACATCCGGCGCCACTTTGCGTGCCTCGTCCCCACCAGCGGCGCCGCCGCCCACTCCACCAGCTCCGCCTGCTCCGCCCCCACCGCCCGCTCCGCCCAAGGCCAAGCCCTGCGCTGCCATCGCTGCAGCTGCCGCCTGCTGTGCTGCAGCATCGCCAACGCCCGCTGCCGCCGCCGCCCCCAGCAGCTGGCTCATGTTGTAGTCAGCTGCGGCAGCGGCTGCCGCATAGTGGGCGTGCGCATGCGCCGCGTGTCCATGCTGATGGGCTGCCGCTGCTGCGGCCAGCGTATAGTAGGAGGACAGATCGTCCTTGTTGCCAGCCACGCAGGCGGTCAGCGGCGCCAGGGTCGATAAGAATTGGCGCTTCGGCTCGTTTTGGCGCGGCGGCGTTCGATGGATTTGTGTGTGCACCACTGGCACCTGGATGCCCATACCCAAGTCCGGTGCGGCTGGGCAGCGGCATTCCTGTGAACCGTGAAGAAGAAGAAGATTTATTAATGGTCAAGCTAAACTTGAAAGAACTTTACTCTGATATTGTCTAACTGAAAATTTTCTGCATTTGAGATATTTGTGTGCTGCGCCCTTCTATGTGATTCTCATGAAAGCCATCGTGCGTATAAGAGTCGTAGCTGTTGTATAACAGCCGTCTAACACTTGTATAACAGTCGTATAACACTTTTCTAACAGTTGTCAAGCACTTGTATAACACTTGTATAACAGTCGTCTATCACTTGTATAACAGTTGTATAACAGTCGTCTAACACTTGTATAACAGTTGTCAAGCACTTGTATAACACTTGTATATCACTTGTATAACAGTCGTCTAACACTTGCATAACATTTGTCAAGCACTTGTATGACAGTCGTATAACACTTGTATAACAGTTGTATAGTAGTCGTATAACAGTTGTAAAATACTTGTATAACAGTTCTATTGAAACATTAACTGAATAATAGCCGATATAAAACATTTGAGCTATACAGTAACTGTATAACAGTTGTTTGCTTGTTCTTCTGTACGATATTCATGAGCTCAATTAGGCTAGAAACTTTTAGGCGTCTGTTAGTGACTGTTTAAAATTAAAAATTTGTATATCGAATCGGATAACTAGACACTTTGATATTGTCAGCTGTATAACAGTTGTATATCAGTTATAAAATCGTTAAATAACAGCTAAGAAACAAGTGTAAAATATATATATAATTAACATAGGCTTCATATGCATTTAGTAAGCTTGCCCTTCTCTGCAATTCTCATGAGTACAAGTAAATCTCCTTCTCTAGGTCTTAGTCCGCTTACCTGTGGTATGATAACAATAGGATTTTCCTCCAGCTCCATAATCTTCTCCTGCTTCTTGTCGCGACTGAAAATGTCAGCGATTTTCTTGTAAGCCGACGAGCCGCTGGACGAGCTGGAGACGGAGCTGCTGGGCGAGAAGCTCTTCTCGCCGTTCATGAATTTGGGCGCGAGCGTATTGGGATTCTCCTCACCGGCGGGACTATCGCGCTGTGCCAGCTCCGAGCAGTCACGTTCGCTGGCCAAATCCTGATCCTGATCAGCATCGGCAACGCCGCGTGACAGCTCCTCCACCAGATCCTCATCAATGTCGCAGGTCAGCTGCTTGATGCGCTCCTCCAGCGAAATGTCCGACTTGACGGCCTTTTTCCTGCAATGACAGCAATGAAAGATCATGAAAACTCCGATGGTCTGCGTTGAGGTTTGACACCACTCACTTGATCAGGGAGCGTCGAAGGATGTTGCGCTCCATGCTGCGCCGCAAGGTGTCGGAATCGCCGCAGCTGCCAGGCAAATGGGTGACCAGGCAGCCGGCACGCTTCGACTCGTCAAAGGCACGCAATGCCTCCGATGTGAGCACCGGCGCCTGCTGTGCCGAGACGCTGGGGAATAGCTGGCGTACCGCCGAATTGGGACGCAACGCATTATTGAACAGGGTCGAATGCTTCTTAATGGGTATCAGCTCGTTGATCTGGTTCTCGCTATCGTCCAGCTCGCCGCACAGCGATTGACCGTCGCCATCGGTGCCGGCATTCGCCTGATCCTCGGTAACAAAACGCACCGAACGCTTCGTGGCGCCGCTTTCATCCTCTGAGGTGGTGTTATTCTGGTCATCCGATTGCTGTTGATTGAGAAGTCGATACAAATGATTGATATCAATTATTATAGAAGAATGATGGACTAACTGATTGATTGACTGGCTATATCTCTACGTCTCTGACTGACGAGCTATCCGATTGACTGAATAATATTTTGATTGACTGGCTGCCTCACTGACTGATTGATTGAATAACTCTGCGACTGATTGACTTACTGACTAACTATCTTTCTCTGTCTTTCTCTGATTGCTTCCATTTCTGCCTGTTTTCCTGCTGTATTTATTGATTGACTGACTGAAAGTCTTTGTATTTGTCTTTATCTAATTGACCTATTCGCTGCTTGATTGAATAATCAAACTGCTGCCTGATTGATTGAGTTGCTGATTAATTAATTAGTTTCCTGTCTTGACTTCATTACCAATTGATTGAACTGATTGATTGATTGAGTTACTAACTGTTCCCATTATTCTAATCAATTGATTGGTTGATTGATTGATTGATTGATTGATGGGTAGAGTTACTAACTGATCCCATTACTCCAATCAATTGATTGGTTGATTGATTGATTGATTGACAGAGTTACTAACTGATCCCATTATTCTAATCAATTGATTGGTTGATTGATTGATTGATTGATTGATTGACAGAGTTACTAACTGATCCCATTACTCTAATCAATTGATTGGTTGATTGATTGATTGATTGATTGATTGACAGAGTTACTAACTGATCCCATTACTCTAATCAATTGATTGGTTGATTGATAGAGCTACTAACTGTTCCGATTACTCTTATGGCTGATTGATTGACAGAGTTACTAGCAGATCGAATTACTCTGAATGATTGATTGATTGATTAATTATAGCTGGTAGTGCAACTCACCTGCGAAATGGAGTCCTGCTTCCAGAGTTTGCCGCCCTTGAGTATGCCGCTGATCTGTGTGGTCGTTGTTAGCTCCTTGGGCGGTATGGGTGGCGGCTTCTCCTCGTCATATTGTTCCGAGCCAGTTGCTGTGCCTGCCGCAGCATTGGCTGCTGCCGCTGCCGCTGCAGCTGCAGCTGCTGTGGCACTTGCCTTGGCCGGCAGCGCCGGTGGCAGCATGTCCGATGCTGGCGCGGAGCCAGCTCCAGCGCCAGTGGCGTTGGCAGCGGCTGTGGCGGCCAGATCCTCGGGCGCTTCGCGTATAATGCGTCGCTCGGTCACTGTGGTCATAGTGGTAATAGTTTCAACAACAAATCTTTTTTTCTTGGCTGTGCTAATGCCCGCTGCTGGCACCAGGCTGGTGCCATAGCCGGAACCGGTTACGGAAACGGAACCGGGACTAGAGCTTGCGACGGGCTTGCTGCTACTGCCCGAATCCTTTCTAACTTTGACTGTCATGCACACACGCACACACACACGCACACGCATACACACACGCAGTGCACGAAGTTCAGCATTCACATACGGAATAGTCATAGCGAGCGGCATATTGGATTGTAATTGTTATACGAAATAGAGCATTGTACATATTTGCATTGACAGGTGGCAAAGAGACAAACGTGGTTAGTTGGGAGAGCAGTGAATGGGCGGACGAATGAGCGAGGTCGAACGATTGATTGAGAGCAGCCTACAGCTACAGCTTCAGTGTGCAGTGTTAATTGCACTCTTATCTTGAGTGGTGTATAACAGATGTATAACAGTTGTAAATTAGTTATATAACAACACAACAATTTAAAGCTGTTTCACATCTATGCAACAATCGCTTAACAGCTGCTGTCGCACGCCAATTGCTGTATAACAGTCGTATAACAGTTGTATAACAGTTGTATAACAATCGTATAACAGTTGTACAACAGTCGTATAACAGTTGTATAACAGTCATATCAAATTTGTAAAGCAGTCGTAAAACATTTGTATAACAGTCGCAAAAGTAGTATAATAGCTATATTACAGTTGTATAGCAGTTGTATAACATTCGTATAACAGTTTTTGGCAACTTATTTACGAACTGTACAGTCTCTGTATGACAGTTGTATAACAGTTATTAAGCAATTATATCTGTGTAACTATCGTACAACAATTGTATAACACTGGAAGTTATACACCGGCTCAATCTGTAAAGCTTTTGAAAAAGTCTTACATCTGTATAACAGTTGTATAACAGTTTCATAACATTTGCACAAATCGCTTTCAATGGCCCCAGAGAGCAATGGCAATGCATGATTGATCAATTTCTCGTTCTCTTTCGATCTGAGAATTGTCCAAATTGAATGAATGCTCCAGGCGAGGATTGCTGCAGATTGACTGATGTAAGCCGTGTATACTATATATATATATATATTATTGATGATAATTTGGAAAGTTGGCAACGCATGATGAATGTTATTGCTGCTCTGTGCTATGACCGCTGAATGCTGATTGAAGGAATATCGCAAAATGACAGTAAAAATGCTGGGCAAATTCTGTTTTTTTTTGGGTGCTGGGCGATTAGCGTGAAGTGGATGCAGCAATGCATGTATATATAGCGAGCATATGCAGCTATATACAAAGCTAATGACGTATTTGTAGAGCTGAATCAAGAGGGAGAGCTTACCTGCTGCTGCTGCTGCTGCTGTTGAGGGCTTGTATTGTGATTGAAGCACATATTTGGGCCGCTCCTCGCCGGCGATGATCTCCTTCTGCGTGATGCGACGCTCCGGTGAGCTGGTGTGCAATGGCAGCAGTGCCACAGCTGGCACGCCGATGGGCGTTAGCTCTTCGTTGCATTGTGCGGCGCTGCATTCTGTAGAGGAAGAGGAAGAGAGAACAGAAAATCATGTCATGATTGATTCACTGATTGATGAGCAGCGTCAATGCCAAGCCGCAGCTATAGTTATGCCCTAAAGTGCTGCAAACTGAGCCCAGTTTGAGTATTTCACTAAATCCAATCAAAAATTGATAAGAAAATATTTGTATAACAGTTATTAATACTACTTCTCGTCGTTCAATTCGTCGAAAGTAAATTTTTCTAGCTAAATGTTGATTTATTTTATTTTTCTCTTAATTGATTTCAAATATTCGACTGGGCAATACCCACTGTTATACGATATGGAGTATGCCAGTTGGCAGGCCTGTTGCTGCAGCGGAAGCGCGCTTGAAGGATTGCTCTCGTGTGAGGGCGCGGCCGAAGCTCTGGGCTCATGCCCCGGTGCTTGACTTAACTTTGGTGGCTTAGTGGTTCAGTGGTTCTGGTGGTTCGATGGTTCGGTGGCTCTTTGACTGTTAACCGGGTGGGTCACATTCCGCTTCGCTAGGCGCAACAAATAATGTTCAAAAAGGGGCGACGACTCGGCGCAACACGAGTTCCGTTTTAGCTTGCCAATCAATAAAGCGTGACCAAAATTAATGTAAACATAGAGCCTCGCCCGTTCCCTACTTTTCCAACTCAGACCCCATTGCCTGCTACACAAAAAGTGTCGCTTCTCACATCCTTCTACGGACAGCCAAACAAAACCATAAACAACTACAAAACTTGCGCTTGTTTATCCATTAAGTTGAGTCTCCATAAATCAATCAATTGTTAACCAACTTCGATGTGTGCGGCAATGCGGGCTCACGATTTTCTTCCATTCACTCGTTTTTATGCCGTATAACAATGAACTCACTGCAGATTGTTGCACAAAGCGTTGCAAATTATAGCTCACATTCATATAACAGCTGTATGACAGTTCCATTCTATCAGATATTAATTACAATTATGTTTAACAGTTATAGCAGTAGTATAACAGTCAGCAAACAGTTGTAAAGGAGTTATGCAATGATCGTATAACAGATGTAGAACAGTTGTACAGTCGTACATAGCTCGAATAGCAACTATATAACAGTTTGTATAACAGTTGTGTAACAGAAATATGAATGGCAAATATATGACTTGTATAACAGTTGTATAACAACTGAGGAATATATGTATAATAGTATTATAATTGTGTTCTACAGCTATTTCAGGTGTATAACAGTTCAATTGTGAGTATACTAGTTGTATAGCAGTTATATGGCAATAGTATAACAGACGTATGCCACATTTCATGTAAGGCAGTCGCCTAGTAATTATATAGTAACCATATATAACACTTTTATAGTAGTCGTATAGCAGTTATAACAGTTACACTATTATTGTCTTCGCATGGCTATAGAACAGTTGCTCAGCAGATGCATAAACGTCGAATAGTAGGTGTATATCAGACATATAAAAGCTCTAAGTCAGTCATAGAACAGTTGTATAAAACTTGTATAACACTTTTCTTAAGCTTTGAATCCCCAGTGGCCGCGACTGCCCCTAGAACTTCTGGCAGTCGTATTAAATGAAATTTAATTAGCTATTAAATTTCATGGGCCTTCGCTGCGACGTAAAAAATCAAAATGGCGCCGCGTTTATGGCTCGCACCCAATTGGCACGGTCTAGACCCAGCTGATGGCCGGTCGAGGAGCCTGTTTGCATAAATAATTTATGATTAGATTGCACAAAGGCAAACGAAAAAGAACGTTGCTGAATGGAAGCAAAGCCCAAAAGGACACAGACGCCCCACAGCCTCTCCCCGTCCGACTAGCCACGCCCAAAGGGATGCCCGCTAATTGCATTGGAGCTAGCAAAACACAAACTAAAAGCCAAAGGACATTGGCGCAGTTACCTGCATCCTGTAGCTGCTTTGCGGCGCATTCGGCACACTCGGCGCACTCAGTGCAAACGCCCTGCAGGTCCTCATCGGCCTGCTGCTGCTGCTGCTGTGATGTGGCATGATGTTGTTGCTGTTGCTGTTGCTGCTGTTGTTGCTGCTGCTGCTGCTGTTGCTGAGCGCTGCCCACAGGCGGCGGCGGTGGCGGTACTTGACTGTTGCCATTGCTGTTGCGCGCCGCCAACATTGCGGCCCGCTGCTGCTGCAGACGCTGTATCACCTGCAACTGTTGCAGATGCTGCGCCCCAAAGATGTGGCCGCTGAGCGCGCCGCCCAGCGTATTCTTCAAGCTGTTGTCCTTGTAGCCATCCGGTGGACTAAGCGCCGCATCGTCCACAAAGTCGATTGGCGGCTGGAATTTGGGGCTCTGCAAAATAGTTCAAAAAGTCAAATTACACTCAACGAAATTATCTATATAACAGTCTTTCGGACTATATATCTAGCTTAGTATAACAGTTGTATAACAGTTAAACAATAATTGTATAATAGCTGTATTACACTTGTCTAATAGTTGTATTAGACTTGTATGACAGTAGTATAACAGTTGTATAACAGTGGTATAACAGTTGTATAACAGTTTTTTATTAATTATGTTACAGCTGTATAACACTTGCCTAACTCTTGCATAACACTAGTATAACAGTCGTATAACAGTTGCTAACAGTGTTTGCCTACGCTTCATTTGCATCTCTCATAGCTCATAGCAACCAAAATGCATTTCAACAACGCATTTTTCTAAGTGTAGCGTCAACTTAATGTTAGCTAACTAAGTAAGTTATAGGCAACTAGGCTTCTAGCTCCACGTAATTGTGCGCCCGTTCGCAAATTAAGCTAATTGAGTTTTATGGCCAGACGGAATGGGGGCGTTACATGCATATCTGTGTGTGTGTGTGTGTGTGTGTGCATGTGGTTGTCTGGCTGATGAACTGTGTGTGCTCATAAATCTGTGTTAAGTTTCCTCGGCGGCTGTGCAGGAAACTAATCATAAGGCAGCGACCGTTGTTTGAGCATAACACTCGTACGGCGGTGCGCTTAATTACTGTCATTACAGCTATATAATAATTGACATAGCATTTCAATGCTGTAGCAGCTGTATAACAGTTGCACAGCGCCTACAAAAAGGTGTACAATTGTTTGAAGATGTTGCTTCTTGTGTTGGCGACTTCTCAGCTACACTGAACGTATATAACAGTCGTATAAAATGTGTATAACAGTTTTATAGGTGGCTAACAGTTGCTTGACAGCTTTTTAAACATACAACATACAACAATGTTTTGAAGCTGCTTTAGTTATTTTATAACAGTTGTATAACAGTTTTTGTTTCCGCAAACATATGGATTAGCTGCTAATTATCAATGTATTGCAGCTTAGCCAATTGAATTCTGCTGTAAGCATATGAATAGCATGCGTATAACAGTCATATAACAGTTAGATAAATGATTCTGTAGTCAATACTACACTGTAGTAGCAAATGTATACGTATAACAGTTATTTCCCTTCAGTTGCAACTTTTTAAGCCGTCTATTAGCTGATTATCTAGCGCTAAAACACAGCCGCAACCAGCAACCAGCAAGCCGCAAGCCGCAAGACCAAGGACAAGACACACGCCGAGCACATGCATTTGTAAGTGCAAATAGAAGTACATTTAACACAATGCATTTGCAGTGGCAAACAAAGTCTAGGCCAAAAGTTCGCTGCGGCTGCGGCAAGGCAACGCAATCAAGTTGCCAAGAAGTTTTTTCTCTTTTTTTTATTTTTTACTGACTTCTTCAAGCAGTGCCTCATAAAGCAAAAAGCCGCGCACATAACGTTGAGGAAATGCTACAACTTGTGTGTGTGTGTGTGTGTGTGTGTGTGTGTGGGAAAAGTCATATGGAAAATGGAAAAAGGCAAAGTCGTTGCACAGCGCCATAAGCGCGCAGCTTGGCCATAAAGATTGACAAATTTTGTGTGGGTTTTTGGTTTTGCAATTTACCTGAGAGAATTTGACATTCGCTACAAAATGTCTTGGGCATAGATATATATATATATATATATACATATATATATATATATATATATACTACTCTCTTCTATGTCTACTATTTTGCCTGATTTTATGCCAAGCTGTAAAATGTTTGATTTCCAAATTTTCATTTTATTTGCTATCGTAAATCAAGTTTAAATTGAAATTATACAAAATATATACAGTATACTTAGTTATATATATATCCATAATATAGTATATATATCTCATATCACCACTGTTATATACTTGAAAGAATATGCGATTAGCTGTATAACAGTTTTTGCTCCAGGTTTTCCTTGGTTGCTTTTGCCTACTCTAGAAGCTCTAGCTAGTTGCCAGCTTGTGCCAGCATGTGTCTTAACTGTTATATACCTAAAAGAGTATTCCATAAATTGTATAACAGTTTCTACTCCATGTCTTCCTCGGCTGCTTTTACCCAACATTGAAGCTCTAGCTAGTTGCTGTCTGCTCTTATATAAATATATATACGCAAGCTGTCTCAAACTGTCATATACCTGTTAGATATGTGGTATAACAGTTTTTACACTACTTGCCTCTGCCCTTGTCTGCAACTTGAGTTCAGTTTGGGTTATGCAACGCGTTTTGCAAACTTGTTACATACACTAAATGCATATTAAACTCTTCAGAGCGACTGTCATGCACACCTACAAAGAGGGAGAGAGCGGGGGTGGGGGAGAGAGAGAGGCCGGAAGAGAGAGAGAGAGTGGCGCACACAGACATGGATCTTAGGCGTTTGCCACATGCTTGAGCAGCGCCAAGTCAAGTGCATTGGGCGTCCACCCACTTGGCCAAAGCACTCAGACGGACGGAGGGATAGTGGGTGGGCGCATTGTGTGTGTGGGCGGTGCGGGACATGGCAGCAGGACATTTGCCATGGCAGATAAGCAAAAAAGAGGCGCACTCAAGTGACGCTCATGTGGCAGAAAATTGAAATTTAAACGCAGCTCGAGGGCCGCTTAGGATCGATGTAAAGGCAAAAAAGGAACTTAAAGAGTGCAAGGCGTATACGTAATGGCCCAAGAAAGAGAGGCAGAGAGAGGCAACGGAGTGGGGGCGGGGCGAGAGCAAGCGAGCTGCTGCGACAGCAAACCTTGCGAATGTCCTCAGCAACATGAAACGCGTACATCACGATAAAAGGCACAATTTCATAAAACAATATATCAGCTATATACATATATATATATATATATATATATATATATATAGACTTACACACACACAACAATGTTGCTAACGTGCTGGAAGTCACTTGAGCTGCATTTTGTGTAAAAGTTTTTAAGTGATTTATACACCACTTGCACAAGGATAACGAAGTCGGAGGCTGGGGCTGGGGCTGGGGCTGGGGCAAGTGGCGGGCGTTACTCGAGCTAACTACAAAACTTGCTGGCAGCATCTACAACAACAACTGGCAACTTGCAGCTTGCAACTTGCAACTTGACTCGCCTGGACTGCCACTCGAGCTGCGAGCTGAGTGAGTGAAAACAGGATGCCAGGAAGCAGGATATGAAATAGAAACAATACATAGATATGGATTATTAAAGCAGCTCAATGGAGTGCAAAGCAAAATATGCCACGAAAAACTTTCTTCAATTGCATTTAACAATTGTTTTCTGCGCTGCACAGTGGGCCGAAAACTGCGCTGCACAGTGGGCGAAGGTGAAAGTGTGCATGGAACGAGGCCAAGCTAGAGTACAAATTTACTACAAGTATTTAGGGATATATTATAGGCAAGAAGCAGAGCTTAAATGTGTCAGAAGGTGAACGTGGAGGACATTGCACAGTGGAGCAAAAACCTGCAGAGCCTGCTAAAATATATATGAAGTTAGATGATAGAAGATAGAAGATAGAAGATAGAAGATAGAAGATAGAAGATAGAAGATAGAAGATAGAAGATAGAAGATAGAAGATAGAAGATAGAAGATAGAAGATAGAAGATAGAAGATAGAAGATAGAAGATAGAAGATAGAAGATAGAAGATAGAAGATAGAAGATAGAAGATAGAAGATAGAAGATAGAAGATAGAATCCCTGTTTCAAGTTGAAAATGACGACGAAGAGACCTGCTTTTGGCTAATCAAACAAGACTAATCAAAAGGCTACACAGGCAAATGTCAACAGGATGTCAGCTAAATCGGCCATTCATTGACCGTGGAGGACGAGGAGTTAGCGTCAAGACCCACTTCAAAGCCAAAGATTTGAAGCTGCTTAACGCGCAAACACAATTGTAAGTTGCTGAAATTGAAGAGCCATAAGACTAGAAGCATGAGTAGCTGATATGCTAAACTAAATTTTAAGTATTTAACCATAAGTTAAGCAAGAGTAAGCTGGAAAATAGCAAGACGTCTATAAAGTATATGGAAATGAGCTAATTGAAACAAAGCATACTTAAAATATGCTTAACTTGAAGGCAAAGTCTAATTGCTAAATATTTAGCAGGAGGATGCAAAAGATATAGCTAAAGCTGTTCAAAAATTGACAGCAAGAAAAGTACCCACGCATAGGAGCATTGTTGTCTTGACAATGATTATATATTTATATATATACATATACATAAAATATAGAAAATTAATGAAAAGCTGTTAAATATTTGACAAGAGGTTGAGAGAGCTAGCTAAAAGTGTTAGAGATTTGACAGCTGGTATATAGTGAGACTGTCATAAGCTATATGTAAGTTAAGCAGAGCATAGTCAATACATGTTTCGACCATGTAGAGTCAAAGACAAGCTGTTAAATATTTGACAAGAGGTTGGGAAAACTGCTAGATATTTGACAGAATGTTTATAGCTTGACTGTCATAAGTTAAAGTCAAGTTTAATGGAACATTTTTACGCTGCATAGACCATGAAGAGTCAAAGACAAGCTGTTAAATATTTGACAAGAGGTTGGGAAAACTGCTAGATATTTGACAGAATGTTTATAGCTTGACTGTCATAAGCTAAAGTCAAGTTTAATGGAACATTTTTACGCTGCATAGACCATGTAGAGTCAAAGACAAGCTGTTAAATATTTGACAAGAGGTTGGGAAAACTGCTAGATATTTGACAATCTGTTTGTAGCTTGACTTCTCTAAACTAAAGTCAAGTTAAGAGAACCGTTTTTAATCTGTAAACACTATCTAGAGTCAAAGAGAAGCTGTTAAATATTTGACAAGAGGTTGAGCAAACTGCTAGATATTTGACAGAATGTTTATAGCTCGAGTTAAAGCTAAAGTCAAGTTTAATGGAATATTTTTACGCTGCATAGACCATGTAGAGTCAAAGACAAGCTGTTAAATATTTGACAAGAGGTTGAGAAAACTGATAGATGCTTGACAATCTGTTTGTGGCTTGACTTCTCTAAACTAATGTCAAGTTAAATGAAACATTATTACTCTATGTAGACCCAATAGAGGCAAAAACAAGCTGTTATATATTTAACAGGAGGTTAAGCCAGCAGCTCAAAGAAAGCGAGGCTTACGGAATAATTGCCAGCAATAGATAGAAATAAGTAGCAATGCAATGTTGATGTTGTCTGTCAGGCCGACAAGAAGTTTGGCAAAGGGAAAATAAATAGAAAATCAAGGAAAACTGAGGAAAATGGAGAGAAAATGGCAAATGTGTTTTAATACTCAACTATTAAGCTGGCTGTCAACGCCACTTGTGCAACTCTCTCTCTCTCCCTCTCTCTCTGTGCCTCTCTGTCTGCGTGAGTGTTGCCTACTTTTGTGCTGTGGCACACGCACACACAGACATGCTTAAGCTGCCTAAAGCACTTCAACTTTGCTCACTTGTGCAACTCGTCGCTTAATCCGCTTAACGTGGGTGTGCGTGTGTGTGTGTGTGTGGACCAAGCCACTTCTAAATGCCAGCCACTCTCTTTGCTGGCTTTCCTCTATTTACACTCACCTGTGGCGTTCGTCCATCGGCTGCGTCAGCGGCATTCACCGCATAGTTGCACTGGCAGCCCTCCTCGCAGCAGAGACGCACCAGCTCGTGCTCGCCGCAGGTGCACGGCTCCTCGTCCTCCTCATCGTAGGCGCAGTCCTCGCGTATCAATATGATGTAGTCCGCCTCGAAAAACTCGTTGCGCGTCTCATCGAAGACGACGCGATTCTTGCGCGCTGGCGGCGGCCGATTTGGCTTCTTAAGCAGACCGCGCAGCTGACCATTCATTTCGCGCATCTTGAATAGATCTGCCGTGGCAATTGTTGCTGTTGTGTCAATTGCTGCTGCTGTTGCTGTTGCTGCTGCTGCTGCTGTTGCTGTTGTATTGTTAACGCTTGCACTCGCTGCTGTTGTATAATTTGCTGCTAGAACTGTTAGACACTCATTGCATTGGCACACGCTTTCGCTCTCGCTCTCGCTCTCACTTTCGCTCTCGCTCTCGCTGTTGCCAACTCGCTCTGGCTGCCGCTGCTGCTGCTGCTCGCTAACAAATTCAGCTAGCAACTCGTCGTAGCACTGATAGCCGCGTCGCTGCTTGCTGCACGCGGCCAGCTCACTCTGACCCGAGCTCGCCCTGATATCGAGCAATTGCAATTGTCTCGCTGCCTTCAGATAGTCGCCAAAGCGCTGCACATCGAATTCGCTAAGCGAGCCCACAAAATTGCCTGCTGATGAGCTGCAATTGTTGCTGTTGTTGTTGCTGCTGCTGCTGCTGCTGTTGCCGTTCTCGTTGTCTGCGCTAGCTGTGGGCACGAAGGCGCTGCGTATTGCTGTTGTTGTTGGCGTCTCAATTTCAATCAGCACCTGGCTGCTGCTATCAGCCCAGCTCTCACAGCGCACGCGCTCTGCGAACTCCTGCTGCGTATTCAGCAATTGCTGCTGCTGCTGCTGCTCCTGCTGCTGTCTGCTATTTGCTTTGCCAATTTGTTCATTAGCAATGTCTTGTATACAATTTCGATTTAATTGTATTGCACTTGAGCCTTGGGCCACGGCCAATAGCGCGCTTTCAACTATTTTATTGTCCTGTATAGCGCTGCTGTTGGGTGTTGCTGCTGCTGCTGCTGCTGCTGCTGCTGCTGGCTGCGGGGGTAGTTTCTTTGTTATGCTTATTGTCGCTGTGCTGGCATTTAGTTGTATTAGTTGCTGTTGCTGTCTCAAGGATGCCTTTACACAATCATCAACTACAACAGCTTCACTACAGCTGTTGTTGCTGCTGCTGCTGCTGCTGCCGTTGCCGTTGCTGTTAACGCGTCCCTGAAAATTGTGCTGTAAGCGCTTCAGCCTTTGGCTGGCCACAAAATCATCAGCCAAATCGTGCTCAAAATCAATAAGATCCTTATCGTTGCAGCTTGTTGCGCTGCTCGAGTTGTCGCTGCGAGTCGCTGGCTCCTTTAGATCATCGCAATCGTTGAGCGTATAATTGTTAGATATTGTTCTGTTGGCGCATTGCTGGTCGCGTTTCTCGTCAGAGGCGTGCACTGGGCCAGCAGCAACGTACACTGGCAGTTGCTGCTGCCATCGGTTGTCTGGCTTCAAATATGGCAATGACAATGGCGTCGCCTCCTGCTGCTCCTCCTTCTTCTGCTTCTCCTGCTGCTGTTCCTCCGCCAACAAGAACAGCAACAACGATTGCTCGTGCTCCTTTGAGTTGCCAAATGTTGTTCTTGCTGCTATGTCGTTTTGCACATTTTCACTCGAGTTGCTCGAAAAGTTTACATTTAAATTATTTTCACAGATTTTTTGCACAAATTTTTCTGTACGTCGCGCGTCGCTGTTAGCGTCGTCGCCAGCTGCGCTGCTCGCGTCTTTTTTGTTGGTAGTAAAAAAAATTTCTTGCTGCTGCTGCTGCTGCTCGTTTTGGCCAATATCGTTGCTAACTTTTGTCTTTTCAATTTGCACACAATTTTCAGTAATTTTCAACAATTTTTGATTTTGGCCAAAATTTGTTATTGGCTGCTGCTGCTGCTGCTGCTGCTCAGCTGCGCTTGCTGCGACGACTGCTGCTGCGGTTGGTGGTGCTGCTGCTGCTGCCGCTGCTGCTGCTGCTGCTGCTGCTACTGTGAGTTTGGCTTTGAAAAGCTCACTGCCAATTGTAGGTATTGAGCAGGCGCTGTTGTCGCTGTTGTCGCTCCCCATGCCTTTGGCATTGCTGCTGCTGGCTGCTGTTGTTGCTGCTGTCACATTGGGTGGTTGCTGGCCATGGCCAGCATGGTCTGCGTTTGCGCTCACGCTCTCACGCTCGACTTGCGCGCGCTCACAATTGCTGACAACTTCCGCTCCTGTGTTGCTGCTGCTGCTGTTGCTGCTGCTGCTGCTGCTGCTGTTGTTGTTGTCGCTGTATTCAGCACGCGCATGCGCCGGTGTTTGCATGTCGCTGCTATCCGCTGACTGGCACGCCTCCTGCCCGCCCCGCACAGCGCCCTGCTGCTGCTGCTGGGTCTGGGGCTGCCACGCACAATGCGCCTTGTATTGCACGCCAGCAACATTAGCTCGTGAGCTGCGTGCCTCGCATGCCAAATCGACGTCATCAGTGCCATCATCAGCAGCAGTAGCAGCACCAACAACAGCAGCAGCTACATTTAAACCTTGTACACCGTTAGACATGTTGCCCGCTGCAATGAGAGCTGCTGCTGCTGCTGCGGCTGCGGCTGCCTCAATTGCAACAGCAATATGCTCATTATTGCTGCTGCTGCTGCTATTGCTGTTGCTGTTGCTGTTGCTCTTATAATTTGCATCTTCATTATGTTTGCTAAGCGTTTTGTTAGCCATCGTTGTTGCCGTCATTTTGCTGCGTTTAGCTGCTTCATCACATTGCTGCCGCTCCCGCTCCAGCACGCTCTGTCCGTTCGTTAAGGCCAACGTTAGCATGTCCACAATCAGCATAGTTGCTGCCGTGCCACCGCCAATATATACACATATGTATATGTATATGTATGTGAATGTATCGTCAATCGTCAATCCTCATTGAAGCTGCGAATTGCAATTCACAATTAGTTCAAGCAATAACTGAAGAAATTAGCACATCATCATAAAAGATAATCAATAATAATCATAATTATCGAACTATTGATACTTTCCACAGTGCCGTTAGCAGCGCTCGACGTTTTCTAGATCGTGCATTACCCATTCCACTTATAATTAGTATATCATGTCTCGACCTAACCTCATTTATACGTGCTTTTTACTTGAAGCCTAATCGAGAAAAATTGTTTTCGAGCAACAATTTCACAAACAAATTTTTAAAATATTTGTGGACATTTTTTCAATATAAAAAATTATATTGTATATTTTAAAGTATATTTTATATTTTAAAATTTTTCTGATAAATGAAATCTATATAGAAAACAATGTATTTAATTAATAAAGTTATTTTTTATAACAATCAATTTAAAAAAAAAATTTTTTTAATTTTGGTACATATTAGTTAATATATATTTTCCGAATTTTAAATACTCTAAAATTGTATTCAAAAATGTTTTCCAAATCTGTTCTATACCAAATAAATATATAAAAAATTAGTTTTGAAAATTTATTTTATTATAGACTTTAAAATTAGTGTTCAATATTTAATTATTCTTTTTAAGACAAAATTTTTTTACTATGAATTATTTAAAAACATTTTTAAAAAAAATGCAATTATAAAAATTTTTTTTTGAAAAAAAAAAATCTGCTCAGAATATCATTCAAATTGATTTCGTTATTTATGCAATATTTGTTTTATTTAAAAAGATTTTTTTTTAATCTTTTGATTATGATAAACAACAATTATTCAAAAATTATTTTCCAAACATGGTTTATTTTCAATAAAAACTTTTCCAAATATTTTCAAAATTATTTTTAAAAAATTTTAAAAAAAAAAATTATTATAAGTATTTGATAAATTTTATAATTAATTGTTAAAAATATTGGAAGTAAATTGCTTTTTTTTTAATTTTTCTAAATGTTAGGAAAAGTTGTTTCCAGTTACATTATCTAAAAAAAATTGTTTAAGAATATACAAAATTTTTGCTAAGTATGCCAAATATTTTCAATTTGAAAAATATTTTGTAAATCTAAATTGAACGTAAAAAATATTACTTAAGATTTATAATATAAAACCTTTCGATAATAAAAAAAAAATTAAAATATATTTTTTCAAAAATTGTGCTTGGTTTAAAAGTCCATAAAGAAAATAGTCACAAAAGTTGTTCATGTTACGCCATGTTTATTGTAAACATAAAAAACCAATATATGTACATATACATATGTGTAAGCATGTATGTATTTGTTGACAAGTTCCGGTTGTAAAGGTAAAAATTTGCATATTCAAATTGTTGGGCTGGTGCATTGATACGCTAACAAAATGTGGGAGTTTTTTTTATCGGAAACTCTCACACAGAAATGAGGCGAAAGCATTTACCAACAGGTAACGCGGCCCATGGGCGAACAACCAGTTGAATTTTCCACTTAACTAACCATAAAACATAATCTTAAATGAAGTTTTTTTTTTGTATTTTTCTAATTTTTGCATAAATTATAAAATTTACCGGCTAACAAATTTCGACACAAAGTGTTGCTTGGGAATTGCTGTGGTTGCTTGGGCTGACACAGAAAAACAGGTGCGCGAGTGCAACGAAGCGCATCCTGTGCCCAGGATGTCGCCCCACAGCCCGTGTGTGCGACTGAGACGGGGGTTAGTTGTTAATAGCCGCTCGTTACGCGCGAATGCAGAGCGAAAGACACCACCAAAAAAAACACAAACAAAAACAAAAACACACACACGTACGCAACACGGAAATGTAAACAACAAAAAATACTACGCGGTACGTAAAATTCTGTGAATTTTGACTGTGGGTTGGTTTCAACGTTCACCGATCGCCGCTTAAGACGCACGTCCGAACGCGTTTCGTGGCGGAAGTTGACTGAGCAAACGCAAATGAAAAGGCAGCTCGCAACGCTTTCGGCTTCGGTAACAGCTCTCGGGCTATCTTGAGGCTCGGCTTGAGCTTCGGCAACGGCTACGATCTAGGCGCAAGCGCAAAAAACTCAACGAGCGCCGAGCAAAAGAAACAACTCCAAAGACATTTGAATTACTGTGATGGAAATGCTTGGCATGTAAGCAGAGCGAATCAGCAAACCGAAGAGAGAGAGGGAGGGAGAGGAAGAACAGACAAGCAGAAGGGCAGTGCACAGCATTTAGTTGTTTAGTGAGCGCGAGTAACTAATACCTTAGAAGTCAGAAAAGTGCAGTGAAATGAAAAGCGAAATATATATAGTTAATTACTTACCAAATATTTTTAAGCCGTTCACTAGAATTAAGCAGTTTTTTAAGCATGTTTAATTAGGTTTTGATGACTATAAGTAATACGTACTCATTTATAACTGGAAAATATTTAAAATATAGCTATGATTATTAATACGGTATATTTTACACACATTGCTCAGAGCTATCTATATACAAATAAAAAGTTAGGTTTGCCTGTCACATGCTAAGTATCTAGGTAGCATATTCGCTTGTTATGTTTATAGGGTATAATTACTGGCCCAGCCCAATAGGCTCGCCTATTGCTCGCATGCACGAGCTGTCCCAGCGGCCAGCTGCTGCTGATGCTACTTGTGGATGGTGCGTGTTGTCGTTGGCAATTATGAACTGCACTTGCCAGTTGTTCTACTTGCTCAACTAGTGTAAAAAAGTATATTCGTTGTATGCAGTCATTGCAATTAGATTTTATAAATATTCCGCTTATATTATTGTTTAGCTAAGATCAACCGAATTTTTAATTTTTTTAAATTTTTTTTATCAAATGAATTTTACTGCAGTTTATATGTAGACGAGTATTAATCAGTCGACTGCACTTTACTGGGTATCTATTAGCAGCCCCTTCGCACTGCAGTGGCTCCACCAGAAGCGACAATTGGCTACGGTGACCGACGACAGTTTTTATATACGTATGTGTATGTGTGCGTGTGTGTGAGCGAGCGTCTATGTGCGTGGTTCAGTAAAACGTGCTCGTCTCGCGATCAACTGGTGTGCGCCTCTGTGCGTGTGTGAGTGTCATGTATGTGTGTGTCTGCATGTGTTTTACATAGGAAGCAAAGCGGCGTTCGTCTCATAGAAAAAAAAATGTATAGTTAAGATATCAGCGAGAAAGATATACTGGGAAAGTTAGTTGAAGCGCTAGTATGGAGGTATATTGCATGAAGAACCTTTGTATAGATTAAAGAGATCAAATCGATTCTATCTAAAGTCGATAAGTATATCTAAGAGCTGATTTCATTTGAGATTCGGTTGATAAATTATGAATATAAATATTTGATATATAATATTATTATATTATACATATATTTTATAACAAAGTTGAAGAAAAAGAATTGAAAAATCACGAAAAATTAAAAAAAAACTTAAACTACGTGAAATTTTCGAGAATAAAAAGTCAAGCAAAAAAATTAAAAAAAACTTTTGAGATATTTCTGGACAGAATTTGATTAAGAACTGCAAAAGAAGGCTTTAGATCAAGTAAATAGAAATAGAATAATAACCCAAATATAACCATAGCTTAAACAATATAACCTTCATTGCCTACATAATTAAGCACTCATATATTATAACGAAGTATAGAGATCTCGTGAAGATCTTTACTTAGTTTAAGTAAAGATTTTCAGAGATTTTTCAGTATTTTGCTACTGTTGTACCAGATCTTAAGCTGGCATTGAAATATAATACCAAGCACTTTGAAGATCAATTACTTAAGCTGCAGTAGCTCCCACGACAATGTGAAGTACGGACAGTTAGATATAGAAAGAGAGAGAGGGGGAACATTAAAATGGACTTAGTTACAAGATATTCATATAGAAGAGAGCAAAAAAAGAGGGGGCTACGTATATGGGTAGGGGAGATAGCTAGGTAGTCAAGTAGTTACTTC